ATTTCTGAGACAAGTTTTGACTATGTTGGTCGGGCTGTCCTTGAACTCACTATATACCCCAGGGTGGCCTCAAACTTCAGGCAATGCTTCTGTTTCTGCTTCCTGAGTTCTATCATTATAGCTGTGTGCCACTATGCCCACTTGATTATTAAAGTCCTGTTCTAATGAGGTCACTTCTTGATTAGTGTGTATATGATATACAAATATATTTATATCTTTTCCATATATGGAAATGTCCTAACCATTTTTGAATACACATGCACAAAAGGGTCATTCATCTGTATCCCCTTTTTGTTTAGTTCCATCATTTAAATATTATAGGTATGTGAACTCAGCAAAATATTCCAAAATAGCCCAGTAGTCCATAACAGTATTGGGTCTTGCGCTTGACTGGCAATGTCAGAATTTGTTGCCCTGAGTCCCCTACAGCTCAACATAACAACATGGCTTTACTTCTTATACTTCATTTTCATACTTTTCTGCTGGATGGTTAAGACCAAGATAAAGCAAGACCTATGTAACAAGAATTGTATCTTTTGTATCTGATAAGGTCAGTCAAATATAGAAAGGTCCCTTCAAATACCCCTAGATAAGATATCTTTGCAAACAGTGTTGCTTTACAGTCCTCTAAAATCCGGTAAAACCTTATGCTCCATCTTCTGAATAATTATATTGTCCTATATTGGGCCATATTTTCTTTCTGGCACAATGTCCTACATAGTGTGCTTTTCAAAGTAGTGTCCTTGTGTGTGTGTGGTGCCTTCAAAATACAGTCATCGGAGCGCAGGCCAGTAAGTGAGTGAGACGACCAAGGCCAGGGGATCCTGAACAGAGCCAGAGCACAGGCCCAGCTAGTGAGTGAGACTACCTGGGGCCGCGGGATCTTGAATAGACCCAGAGCACAGGCCTGGCGAGTAAGTGAGACGACCCAGGCCGCGGGAACCTGAATAGACCCAGAGCACAGGTCCATCAGTGAGTGAGACCACCGCGCCCATGGGATCCTAAATAGACCCAGAGTGCAGGCCCAGCACTGAACCCTTCAGCAGAACTCCCTGCAAAGAGACTAGAGGCAAGACCCACCCAGCTGATTCAGCAGCAGAACATCTTGCCAGAGAGACACAAAGGGTTCAACACTAAGGGCTGCAGCAGAAAGAAGTGGAGCACAGCAGCCACATACAAGCAACACCCACCTGGAGGAATCTGAACTTCGTAGATCC